GTATATATATATATATATATATATATATATATATATATATATATGATATGATATCTTCACACTTATATTTTATTAAAAAATAAAAACATTATCACTTTCTTAAAACCACAAAAAACTGTATTATATCGACAAAGATAAATAATAATAAAATCATTAAAATCGAGTTGATTTCGTTATATTACATGAATACTCTTATAATTATTATAAACTAATTAACCCATTTTAATTTTGGAGAAACATTCATAGGGATTAGTAAATCTCTTACAATGCTTTAATCTTTTTCAACGTTCTACTTGATTAATTTTGGAGGATGTTGCTTTTCTAGCGTTACTTTTTTATTTTTCCTACCTATACCCAAACTAAACCAACCGTAAGACATCACCCTGATAAACTCAGTAACTACAATTGTTGTGGACGTTTGAAATTGAGAACAAATGGAATATTCCACCATATCCTTAAGGGCTTCAGTCACTATACCACAACGCTTGTGGTTTTGTCTAGTGGTACTTTCTGGTGTGTTATAAGGAAAATATGAGATGGTTAGACGTCGAAAATAGGTATTTTAGGACATCCAAGAACAGTTAAATATAGCCCAATTTTGTTGTAGCGGTTCATAAGATATTCTTGAAAAGAAATATGCAGAAGACCCATGTGTGAAATGCAATGCGACGGACCCAAGAATTTTTGGATATGGTGACACCATATAAAACGGTTGCACCTTTCACAAACCTACTTTTTTTTTACCTTACCACATAGGAGTAATACGATGGCACATGCCATCTAACCACCCCTCTAGGTCCATCTATGGATCAAACTATTGTCTTTTTTCTTTCTGGCCAGCATGGTGTTGGGGCCTTTGGTTAACCAAAAGGGTTTCCTAGAACATATTCCCTTTAGCAGGTAGCTGGTTTAGGTTTAGTTCCCTTGATGTTGAAGCCTTGCCAAAAGCACAAATCTCCCTTGATACCAAACCTCTCTTATCAAGCAAACTTCACATAATCTGATTCTTCTGTCACACTCAAACTCTATATTTATTCACAACATCATATCTAAACAGCACCATCCATTCATATAATAACTTAAGCAAGTCAGCAGAAAAGCCCCTGCCCACTCGACTCGACCGATCTTCACTCGCGATGGACTATGCCATTCCTCGGGAGACCTTCTGGAGGACCGCCTCTAGAATCACGGTTTCAGCACACATCTTCGGTATCTTAGCAAATATCCTTATGCTTGTTTGGTTGTTGCATTATCGTGAAGGCCTCGATCTTGATTCAGCCAATCCATACCGTGTATTCAATGTAAATCATCCCCATTCATAATGAATATATATATGTGCTTATCAATTAAACTTCAGATTTTGCAATTAACTCGAATTCTTTTCCATGCAGGTCCACCCTTTCCTTATGTTCTTTGGATTCATCTTCCTCAGTGGTGAAGGTATGTTTTTTCTTAAATTATTATTGAATTTGGATTCATACGATGAACGAGTTGCATGTCACTACAAAACAAATGATTTTTACCCTGGAAAATTTCTGTCGGGTCACCCAGAAAATACCAAATGTTCTGGTAGAATCAGATATTTTTCAAGAAAATACCAACGGATCATCTAGAAAATAGCTGGGTAGTCTGTCACTGATTTGAGTTTTCCACCAACAACTTTTGTGACTGTTTTGTAACGAATTACCTCTTTAGCGACGGATTTCCTAGCTAGGGAAAAAGGTGTAGGTAAAATTGTTCGATTTAGTAGTGTGTTATGTGTTACTGGAACAGCGATGATGGCATACAAGACGGTAGTAGCAGATCGGATAACACAGAAGTTCGTACATGGGTTCTTGAACCTCTCGGCTCTCGTTTTGGGCATCGTGGGGATACATGCAGCATTCAAGTTCCATAATAAGGCGAATATAGTCGATATGTACAGCTTGCATTCTTGGATTGGCATTGGCACATTCTGTATTTTCATCTTGCAGGTAATCTATTAACTTGTTTATATATTTGTTGTTTTCACTACACCAAGATGCCCAACCCTACGTCCTTAATTGGCGTCCTAATAAAGTACTTCATTGGACTATCAACACACTGCTGCAACGACTTTAGGTTCATACGACATCTAGAATATTTAAGCGTCCTAATATAATACTTTATACGACCAAACAAAAAAGGCGTCCTATCTAGAAGCGTGTCAGAATATGTTTATAGAACGCTTTTGGATTAACAATTTTGTAGGACGTTTCTAAAATAAAGTGTCACATTAGTTATTTTATACGACAATATTTGAAAAAGTGTCATATAAACTCAAGTGTTATATAAAGATAGATTTATAAAACACTTCTCAAAGTACTAATGTGACGATTTATTTTAAAAACGTTCTAAAAGTTTCCTTAAAACGTCTTAGAAATCTACTGTAACACTTTTAGATTAGACGTTTAATATATAGTTTGGTCCTATACAATATGTTATTAGAATGATTAGACATGTTAAGCGTCCTATAAACCCAATTTTGTTGCAGTGACAACTATGAATTTCATACAATGACGTTACAATAAGTTGTTAGGAAAAAGTTAGACCACCTAACAAAATTTATCAACGAAATTGAGCATTCTAACGGGATATAAAAAGTAATTAAAAGGTTTTATTAGCTTTTTTTATACGACACTTTTTGAAAATGTCCTATATAACAAATTTTATAAAAAAAGAAGGGGCCGTTTACAAACACTTACCCGGGTAGGTAAGCGCTTATCAAGTAATATTACCTTACCGGATGAATATAGTAAGTACCAAAAATCTTATCCTATAAGAAGTAAGGCAAGTACCGAGAGTCTTACTCGGTAAGTGAGAGCGATGACTCTTACCACAGTTAACGCTTACCATATGAATTGTTGCATTTGATACCATTTTGGTGGATTAAAATCTTACCCGGTAAATAAGTGATAATATTGATTTTTGCCGGTAAACATTTATTCAGACGAGCGTTTGGTATATATAAACGGCCCCTAATAGAACATTTTCAAAAGTATCCCATAAAAAATTTAGTATAATGATTTAATTTTTGAGTTATACTATGTTTCCGAACATCGTTGATATAACTTGTTAGATCGTCTGACTTCATCTTAACAGATTATTATAACGCTAAAACGACCCTTCAAATGGTTTATTTGGGGGAAGTTTGTTTATCAATCTTATTAATTATGATCGAATTTCTTTTACGCTTGTTTGCTTGTTAATTTTCTTCTATCTTTCGGGAATGCAGTGGTTATTCGGGTTCAGTCTATTTGTATTTCCAAAAGCATCGGCGGTGACAAGAGCAAGGCTATCGCCATGGCACGTGTTCGGAGGAAGAACGTTGTTATACATGGCGATATGTGCAGCGGAAACCGGACTGATGCAGAAATTTACATTCATGCAGCTCACCAACAACAGAGAGAGTTATTTGATCAACTTCCTTGCTTTGGCCATCCTTTTATTTGGGATTACGGTTGATCTTTCGGTCTCTCTTGGTCGTTACACTTGACTTGAGTAACACGTTATATATCGTTTGATCGAATCTTTTCATTGGATTTCGTACGTAGTATGTGAAAAGAATTTCATTTGTAAGAAAGATTAATTGGTTGGTTTTTGGATCACTTGAATATATACTGTGACTCCCATTGTTGCTCAAGAGCTCTCCGTTGTACCTCCTCAGTTTTGTGTTCCACTTGATGATGAATACCAAACTGAAAGTTTGATGCACTTCGATAGAAAATTGCAAGCCAAAAAGATTATATATATATATATATATATATATATATATATATAAAGCAGCGATCAAAAGAAAACCGCCCTCATTTGTGTAAACCCCTATATATAGACTTGAGATCATATGAGACCAAGTGTTTTTCGTGAGACCCGTAAGACCAATTCTCAACCCTTGGATTAGATCTACAATTTGAACATTCATAATCACAAAATTGCCACCGTGCAACTTTAGATTATTAACTTATAAAGTTGATCAATGAACATAAATTGGTCTTACGGGTCTCACGAAAAACATTTGGTCTGACGTGAACCTAACCATATATATATATAGAGAGAGAGAAAGAGTTGGGTTCACGTGAGACCCAACCGGTTTTTGAGAGACTAGTGAGACCACTTTTTTATACTTGAAACTTCACAGAAAAACATTAATTGTGAACGTTATCTTCATAGCATTTTGCTGTGAAGTTTCAAGTATAAAAAATGGTCTTACGGGTCTTACGAAAATAGACGTAATCCCAATTCTCTCTATATATATGTATATATAGTACAACAAAATTGGTTAGGATGCAAAAAAGTCTAAGAGCATGGTTGTACGTCAGGAGCTTAATGTGCTTAATTAACGGTACTCTACGTATCATAACAAGTTTTTAAAACACTTCTGAAATAAAGTAGAACACTTGTTTCATAAGACATTTTTCCAAAGAAGGTAACATGAAAAAAAAACTAATAGGAAGCTTTATTGTCAAAATTGGCTAGAGAATTTTGTTAGGACTCCTAAAATGTTCTATCAACTTAATTATGGTAACATATTCATATATGATGCACAATTATTTTATATGACATTTCATAAAACTGATTTTGTAACGGTGTTAAAACTCAATCAACGACTATAATATATATCTTCGCCTTCCTTGTAATAGCAGTTTGGATTGTAGCCTTTGTATGGATCAAATCATCTTGGTATTTTGTCTACAGGAATCTTGTTGTTCACCACTACCCGTTAAGATTTCTTCCTTCTCTCTTCATTTTTATATGGATAAAGAACTTCTAATGCAGTTTGATGCTATCGGCATTTGTTGTTAGATAGGTTAGAATTCAAAAAGCAAGAGCTTTTGTTTGGTCTGAATACATATGACCATCATTGAACACCACCATGATTACCGATAATAATAATAACAAGACCTTTCTTTTGTTTTTATTCAACTTCAAACGTCCATATATGTCTTTTCTGGCCTTCCAGCCATCAAGATTTTACAATACACTGGCTACTCTCTGCGTTTCAGACTGGTGCAGGTGCTTCCATGGCGAAGGGTGGTCGCAGTTTTCAGATAACAGCTGCACCTGTGACTGTATTTGCTCATTTGTTAGTCATATCGATTGCTACCCTTGTCTTGGTTTGGCTCATAAAGTTCCGTGAAGGCTTTGCTTTCAAGTCCCATATTAAAGCCAAGATCTTCAATGCAAGTTTTCATAATAACTACATATATTATATATATGCATATATAGTTGCTTACTGTTCTTGTGTTTATCGCTCCAATATTCTGTGAAATGATTAAAATTTCTTCTTGCAGTTGCATCCGCTTCTTATGATACTTGGATTTGTTATATTTTCTGGGGAAGGTAACAAATTTGGACTTCTTTTACAGTTGAAATCCGATTCAATCCATTTCACTGAAAATAGAATACTTAAAATCTATAATTGTATTTGAATCAGCAATCATAGTATACAAGACGATCCCTGCAAAGCGGCAAACCCAGAAAGCAACTCATCTGATATTGCATTTTATCGCACTTGTTGCTGGAATTCTTGGGGTTTATGCAGTTTTCAAGTTCCATCATGAACTCTACATGCCAGATATGTACACCTTACATTCCTGGATCGGATTGTCGACCATCTGCTTATTTGGCCTCCAGGTTACTCTCACATAAAACGTATCATTGAATCTGAATACATACATACATATACTAATTAGCGAAAAACGTATGGATGGTATATATACAGTGGCTGCTAGCATTTTTCTCTTTCGTGTACCCGGGAGCAGAATCAGCAAGAAGGTCTAGGATGGTTCCATGGCATGTTTTCTTTGGCGTAGTCATCTTCTTCATGACAATAGTGACTGCTGAGACTGGATTGACTCAGAAATTCTTTTCTCTAGAATTACAACGCAGCCAAGAAGCACTTATCATCAACTTTACTGGATTGTTGATACTCCTTCTAGGAATATCTGTTGGCCTCATCATCATCCTTCCCCGAAGAATGTAGTGCGATCCTAAACTAGATTTGTTTTGACTTAACTTTCTTGATTTGAACTTGTTGTTTTTCAATCTAATCATGTTTTGTTTAAATAACAAAGATTGGAATCAGCTTCCAACATTATTCTCTAGGAAAATATACCCCAATCAATGATCTATGCTAGACATGAATTATATGCGTGTAAAATGAAGAGTTTTATGAAGGCTAAAACTTTAAAAACTACACGACACTCGAGAACTCGCGATTGGGAGGTTCTGGGATTTTGACTGTCCCTTCGAGCATCAACAGTACTTTCTTCATCGATGGGCGCAAAGATGGGTCCTCTTGAATGCACCAAAGCCCTATTTTAATCATTCGGTCCAATTTCCTCTTATCTACATCCTTTTCATACACTAGCTTCGATACTTCATCTGCTTCGTAACAGTCATAGACCCATTCTTCAAGAATAGCTTCTTCAACAGGAAGGCTACTGTCCACGCTCCTTCGACAACATAAGATCTCAAAAAGAACGATCCCATAACTATAGACATCCACTTTAGCTGTTATCGGTAGTTTCTTGTGCCATTCAGGCGCAACATAACCCTTTGTTCCTCTTATCAAGGTGAATGTTTTAGTTTGGTCATGTTCGAGTAGTTTTGCCAATCCAAAATCAGAAATCTTGGCGCATCCATACTCGTTCATTAGGATATTTTGAGGCTTGATGTCACAGTGAATGATCACTGTTTCACACTCTTCGTGTAGGTAGAGGATTCCACGGGCAATGTCAACTGCCATTCTGATTCTTTGTTCCCAACACGGCTTGCTTTCTTTGGTTTCGAATAATATATCTGCAAGGGAACCTTTGGTCATGTACTCGAAAACCAAGAGTCGTTCGGGACCTTCACAGCAATAACCAAGCAGCTTGGCTAGGTTTCGATGATGGGTTCTCCCAATCACTTTCATTTCTGTTTGAAACTCTCTTTCACCTTCTTGTGCCAACTCTTCCTTCAACTTCTTCACGGCCACCAGTTTATTCGAGCTCTCTATGATACCTTTGTAAACAATCCCGAATGATCCTCTTCCCAATTCTTCTCTAAAACCATCTGTGGTTCCTTCTAACTCAGCATACGTAAAAGCCCGAGGCCCAACATCATTGAACAATTGGACATTTACATTTTCAGAAATCTTTCTGTAGGTCCAAACTTTAGCTCTATACACGACCACTCCAGAAAGTAGCAAAATCAGTACGGCAAAAGAGATAAGGGAAATCCCGGTGACTAAGATCTCCATTGGCCGCTCTTTCTTGATGTGGATCGACGGAATATTAGTTGGATCCGATCCATTTGTGACATAAGATGCATATACCTTAATCAATCCAACATTCGACTCACTATCTTTTACTTCCATGTATCTTAAAGGGAGCTTCTGCAACCTGCATACTCGTCCAGTGAACAGCGCCACCTCGCATATGCAGTCATTTAAGCAAACAAATGAACACTCTTCTTGGGTTGATGCTTCGGGGATCGCATAAGCCGCATCTTCCCAATTAGCATTATTTAAGGTCGTCATTTGGAACGAGTTAACAGCATCTGGATCTTTGCAGCTTTCCATGGTACTGTAATTTCTCTGACAACCCAATCTCCATGACTCCGGATTGACAAATTCGAACCCCGGTGAACATTTGCATCGGGCAACATCGTCCATGACGAAACAATACCCATTTACTCCACAAAGTCCCCTTCCTGCACATTTGTTCGTCGAAGATGCCCATATGACTGATGTATTCTTGCTCGTGTTACTTAGATCATGATAATATAGTCGAAAGATACCATCCACATCAATTTTCATCCAATAGATTGCCTTTTCGGATCTAGGACCTCCTCCTTGTGTTAGATTCCTGATGAAAACAGCTGAATCTTGCAACAAGTACAAAAACCCATCGGAATCAAGATTTAGTGTGACGTCAGGTCCCGTTCCAGGCGTGCCGGACTCCCAGTAAGAACTTGCGGTTGTATCGTCAGTCCCTACATTGGGGAATTGCACGAGATGCCCATCGATTTGCATCGTGAGCTTAAAGATCCCAATGGATTGGTCTGTCTCCGAGACACTTGAAAACAGCCTTTGAACCGGTACAAGCTTCTGTCCAGCCAAAAGGGTATCAGTCGGGTGGTCGAAGCTTTGCCACGCTACCGTTATCCCGTCGGAACTGTAGAGCACAAAGTTCCCGTTGTCTTGCATGGAAGCCCGAGAAGCACCGACAATAGTACTACCGGTGATATCAATTGGTTGGCCTGCTACTTGTTCCACGATGAGGCTTCCATCAGTTGTGAAAGTCAAAGTAGCATTATTCGAGAGTGGAAGAATGTCGCGTCTGGCCGTCCAAACCACCGGCCTTTCTGGAATTCCGGCAATATATATACCGACGGCGTAGCCTGCTGTTTGTGGATAGAAACCGAAGGCGTATAGTCTCGATGGCGAAAGCCATGAGGTGGTGGCACCTGTAGGCGTTAAAGAAAGACCTCCTGTTATATTGGATTGGGCTTTTGCTATATCGAAGATAAAGGAAATTGCGACAATATAGGTGGCCATGGAAATCGCCATTTGCGATAATAGGTTACAAGCAACGTTGCTTTCCTTAACGTTTTTTATAGGATAATTAAGGAACAAGGGATGCATCCATTTAGTCAATTAGTCAAGTCGTCTCTTCTATGACTTGTTCTTGATATAATATGAATTCAAGAAAAATTTACGAGTATTTTAATTAAAATGCAATTAATTATTTAGAATAATATATTCTATAAGATAAGAATATTAAAATTACAATTCATCAAATAATATTAACTTAGCTGACGATTTTTATTATTGTTAAGTACTAAGGGACTGTTTACCTAAATACTTACCCAATAAGTGTTTAGCATTAAAAGTCAACACTATAATTTATTTTATCGAGTAAGATTGTAGTGTATCAAAACGTATCTTATGCAACAATTTACCTGGTAAGCGTTTATCCGGGTAAGAGTCGTTATCCTCACTTATCGGGTAAGACTCTCTATTTTTATCATCGTTCTTACCGGATAAGATTCTTGCCTCTTGACATGTTCATCCGGTAAAGAAAATTGTCCAGTAAATACTTACCAGGTAAGCGTTTAAATATATTTTTTTATTAAAATATTTTGTTTATAAGATTAAAAAGAAAAAAAATCACTGGGTCAACTCGGAGTATGGAAGCCAAGCGGATAGTCGTACTTGTTGACTTTGGCCTACACATATTCATGTTTCTATAGCTTGTTTCAAAATGAAAGTGTGTTTTTTTTAAACAATTTTTAGAATATAAATGATTTAATATTTAATATTTAATATTTAAAATAAAAGAATAGTTTATTTTAGTTCCATAAATTTTATTATTCTGTAATTAATTTAAATATTTGTTGTAGAAAGTCATTGCCGTTTTAATTGGTCTAAATGTTACACTATCATTTTGCATTTGAATTTTTCCAAGTGATATAAAACATAGTTTAAATTCAAGACCCAATGTCAAATATCCAATTTTTAAAGTATGGTTTTCAAGGTCGTTTTAATGAATTCAAATGACTCGTTAAAATGTTGACTCAACGTAATTGATGGTGTGTAAAAAGCATGTCGGTGGGAAACGGACTAAACATGACGGGACCCACAATCAGTTAATTGGACTCTTGACTCTTTATTTTTGTTTTCCGATGTGAAAACTTTTATTTGTTACCGATTATTTTAATAATGTAAGAAAATTTTAATTTCTAGATACTTTTTTACAACTGTTAATTTCAATAGCAGCTTTATATTTTCTTATTGAATTTAATTAATAATGAAATAAATGTAGCTTCAATTCGTCTTGCATCATACGGCACGAAGCTAGTCATTTTCAAGACTAAATCAACTTATATTTATTACACACAATTAATTTATCGTAATATTATTCCAACAAATAAAGTAATATAGTATTATTTTTAATATTGTCATTATACGGTAAGATTTAGAGAGATTTTAGATCGAATTTCGTCTTAACCCTATATTTGCTAGATATAGAATATATGTGTGTAAAATGGAGAGTTTTATGAAAGCTAAAACGTTAAAAACTACAAGACGCTTGGGAACGAAAAGATGGGCTGTCAAGAGATGGGTCCTCTTGAATGCACCGAACCCCTATTCTGATCATTCGGTCCAGTTTTCTCTTGTCTACATCAGTATCATCCACTAGTTTCAATACTTCATCTGCTTCGTAACAACCATAGACCCATTCTTCAAGAATAGCTTCTTCAACAAGAAGGCTAATGTCCGCGCTCCTTCGACAACATAAAATCTCAAAAAGAACGATCCCAAAACTGTAGACATCCACTTTAGCTATTCTTGGTAGTTTCTTGTGCCATTCAGGTGCAACATAACCCCTTGTTCCTCTTATCAGGGTGAACGTTTTAGTTTGGTCATGTTTGAGTAGTTTTGCCAATCCAAAGTCAGAAATATGCGTAAAAGCACATGAAAGATTATAGAAAAATTACTATTTCGTGGATTTAAAGATGAAGATAAAGTTCTATAAATCCTCATCCTACAACCATCGTAGTGTTTGGTTAATTTGTTTAATTGGAAATATGGACAAAAGTTTGATTTTCGATTTAGATCGAATTGGTTGATGACTATGATCCAACCTGCTATGCGAGCCGACTACTCCCAGTACGACCACCTGCTTTGCTTTTATCTTTTTTAAAATGTTCACTTTTACTTTATCTTTCTTCACTTTTGCTTTTTATAACTTGCCATCATGTAACATCTACGAGGCAACTTTGCTTTTGAAGTCTACTGAAAGTCTACCGGTAAACGTTCAGCAATCATCGATCGCCTACCTCCAAACACCCACACACACACCTGCACCGAAACACCACCCTAGGAGAGAAGATGGTCGACGTTGTGATCGATTTCCTGTTGGAGAACCTGAAGGAGATACTGAGTTGTAGCCATGATTTTGTTCTTGAAGGGAAAGATGCAATCAAGTCTCTTTACGACGATCTCAAATCCATCACCACCTTCCTTAAGGATCCACAGATCCTTACAGTTGATCTGCAAGTTATGGTGGAACGCTTCCAACAAATGGCTTACGCCATGTTAGATCTGATGGACTCTTCTGCAATCATTGCCATCAACAAGAAAAAAGAAAACCGACCCATGCCACACTCATCCTTGCCCAGAAAGAAGAAACATGATGTTCTTCGAGTTTTCAATCCTTCTGATTCAAAATTACTGGTGGATTTCAAAAAAGAAGTCAGTTCCATCAAGAAAGCATTGATGGACGACATTGATAACACCAAGTTGGATAATCTTCGATTAGGTTCAGGAACAACAACACCATATGCATCTGGATATCAGATTGGTGGTACTGGTTCTAGTGTATATGATAAAGATATTTTTGTGGGATTTGAGCAACAAGAGGCTACTGTAAAAGATCGATTGGTTGGAGTGCTGAAGAAGCGACAGATCATATCGATCGTGGGTATGGGAGGAATTGGGAAGACGACTTTAGCCAAGAGACTATACGATGACTCGTATATCACCTATCATTTCCATGTCCGAGGGTGGACTTGTGTATCTCAGAACTACCAAAAGAAGGATCTGTTGCTTAGCATTTTGGAAAGTGTTGTGGATAATGAAGACCAACTGCATGGTGCATGCGAAAATAAGCTGGCGGAGAAACTGTATAAATGCTTATACGGAAGGAGATATCTGATCGTTGTCGATGATATTTGGGACGTAAAAGCATGGGAGGACTTGATAAGATGTTTCCCAGATGACAACAATGGAAGTCGAATCATGATTACTACTCGGCTAGAGAAGGTGGCTATGGAGATCGCTAAACCTGAAGTTCCTCCTCACTTCATGTCCTTCCTATCACAAGATGAGAGCTGGGACTTGTTGCAGAAAAGGGTATTTAAGAGAAGGGATGAATGCCCTCTAGAACTGGTGGATCTTGGACAACAGATCGCTGCAAAATGCCACGGCTTGGCACTGGCGATTGTGATCGTTGGTGGGATTCTTGAGAAGATAGAAAGGAAGAAAGAACGGTGGACGGAAGTTTCTGAGCGTTTGAGCTCATATATTACTACAGACGATGCCGAGCAGCAGTTGATGGCCATTCTTGGACAAAGTTACGATCACTTGCCTAGTCATTTGAAACCATGTTTTGTGTATTTTGGAGCATTTCCAGAAGACTATGAGATCGTGGTTTGGAGGTTGATATTATTGTGGATTGCTGAAGGGTTTGTGGTTGAAACGGGAGATAGAAGCTTAACGTACGTAGCTGAGGAGTATTTGAAGGATCTTGTAGGAAGAAGTCTAGTCGTTGTCTCAAAGAGAAGCTCGAGAAAGGGAGTTAAATCATGCCGAATGCATGATATGTTACGTGCTTTCTGCTTAGAAAAGGCTAAAGAAATGAAGTTCGAATTCAGGCAACAGATCGACTGGTACGGACGTGTTGCTTCCCCAGCAACTCCACCAATCTTAGAAGGACCACCTCTGTGCTTTCATTCCCATGGTTATCATGATGGTGAACCTTGCTTTCCTCATCTCCGTTCTACGTTATCATCTCCAATATCGTACATCTACAAGCTTCTAAGGGTGCTGAATTTGTGGGCTGTCTATTTGGACACTTTCCCAGAAGAAATCTTCAAGCTATTCCATTTGAGGTTCTTGGAAATTCGTGTTCGTCACCTTGATAGTTTACCATCAGAAATATCGAATCTTTGGAACCTAGAAGTGCTTATTATCAATAAAGAGAACTGGGGAAGAGTTTGTATTCCTCGTAGCTTTTGGAGCTTGGTGAAACTAAGGCATCTGTCTATTTCAGAAGAAATAGAATTTGAACCACCTAGTGCCAGCCATGGCTATCCGCCATTGTTGGAGTCATTGCAATGCATTTCTGCATTACCAGCTTCTAAGTCTAGAATGGACATAAAACCGTTCTTTAAAAGAACCCCGAATCTTAAAAGAGTGGTCTTCTATCGAGGTCCACGAGAAACGAAACAAATCATCCTTCCTTCTCTAGCTAACCTCATTCAACTTGATTCATTTAAGCTGATTGACAACAGTTATGGACAGCCACACCTCATCATACCGCGGACTTCTTCATTCCCACAAAATCTGAAAAAGATTGCATTGTCAGGCGGTCAAGCGGAGTGGAAGGAAATGTCCAAGCTCGGAAAGTTACCGAATCTTGAGATCTTGAAACTAAGGCGGAACAGCTTCTCAGGGCCATTATGGGAAACGAACGATGGGGAGTTCTCTAGACTCAAATATCTAAAACTTTCGTTTATGGATCTTGAACGTTGGATTTGCTCCACATCTATTCACTTTCCTAACCTTCAGCAACTTCTAATAGAAAGATGTCAGGCTTTACTAGAAATACCATCTTCACTCGGAGATGTAGCCACTCTAGAGACAATCGAGGTGTCTTGGTCAAGCCATTCTGTATCAGACTCGGCCTTGAAGATTCAAAAAGAGCAGCAAAACGATGGAAACGATGGGCTCAAAGTCCTTGTCTCCAATCGAATTGGGGAGGACGATGGGACTGGAATACTGAAATCCTTCTTAGAGGACGAGAGGTTTTCAATTTTCACGTCCTCATGTCCAACTCCTTGAAGAAAAGAAAACGCCGATCAAGTGTTGTAAAAATGTCTAAATGTCCAAACACACTGCTTTATAGAACTTACTTTTATATGATCAAACAATTGTTCGTCCTACGTAAATATGTTACAATAAGTTGATAGACCGAGAGGATGCTTTTGGACTTCCTAACAAATTTTTTAGAACAATTTTGAAATAAAACGTGCTATTAGTCTTTTATACAAGATATTTGAAAGTGTCTTATAAAAACAAATGTCCTATAAAAAGATGTCTATAAGACACCTCTCAAAAGTATCCTAAAGTACACTTTATTTCAAAAACGTCTTAAAAAGCTTGTAAGGATGCCCAAATATGTTCCAACATCCTATTGTAACACTTGTATATAGAACGCACAATTGTTTAGTTCCATAAACTTAAGTTCTATGAAGTTGTCTCTATTAGGACATTTAGGGGTTGTAGGATTGGTTTTCCATTAAAGCTGTCTATGTGAATTAATCTGTCTACATAGATTGTGAAGGTTTTTGTTTCGGAGGGTTTTTTCATAGATGAAAGATCATCTGTTTTTTTAATTGGGATGGAGCAGTTCAGAAAAAACTTGGCTTTCTGCATAGAACTCCCCCCCAAAAGCTTACTGAACACTAAGTCACTACCAAACAGTCATCTATAGCTAACCAAATAAGTTGTGAGTCCCATTAAACTCATTAAGTTGCTAACAAGCAGTCCCTTCGACATTTGTGGCATCCTATAAAACCAACTTTGTTGTAGTGAAATATAAGAACTAATGCCATTTCCATCATCGTCAATCAAACAAAAGCGGTCGAAGACCGATAAACCATAAACATTAAGACGGGGGGCATCTAAAACCAAAAGCATTTACATGAACGCATACCAGCATCTTTTATTAAGCTTGAGAAAATTTGAAGTCACTGCATCTTATAGTATACAGACAATATTACAGAAGAATGAGGCAAAACCAATCTTCATAACCTCACTGTACAACAAGGATACCCGATTTGAGCACAAGCATAAACACGAAAAATATACTAGAAACTGTCGGAAAGACTTACAGGGTGGTTAAAGTTTGAGAGTAAGATCAGGTGTCGTAGATGAATCTCTATTAGAATCAGCAGATACGCCATCAATCTGCCTAAAGCTACCAGGCCAAAACATTTCTGCTTCATCATCCTCCACAAACATCGGTAACCCACAATACCTCTGATCAAACCTCGTTCCACCTCTAACCGCATCAAAATTAGGGATTTCTCGAGCCACAACGTGTTGATGCAATGAGCCATGAGCTTTGATACCCAAAGACCGAAATGTGGACCCGTGAAGCGGCAAGGATGCCAGGCTGGCGTACCTATTAGACAACAGTCCCACCCTCATGGCTCTCTTCACCAGCATTTTCTCTCTTTTGTGTGCGTTTTGGTGGCCTCCCAATGCCTGTGAACTGTAGAATTTGCGTCTGCAGTATTTACAAGAAAAGACACGGGGTATGGCTGGTCCCAAGACCGTAGTCGGGGACCCTGATTCCAGACCAACCGGCTCAGGAATCATAGCGTTAAAACCAAGGGTCAAGTCAAGAAGATTGGATTTCAGTGGTCGTGTTGACTCAAGATGTATGTGATTTGTGGTGGCACAGTCCTTGGATTGGCTGGTTGCCGCTTGGTTTCTGATTTCAGACCCGTCTTCGACTAGAAACGTGTCATTTGTTGGTTCCATGTTTCACTAACGTTTTTTTAAATCAACGACCACAAGAAATCATGGCCATTGTTTTAGTCTTTTCGCCTGCAAAAGTAAGGTGAAAATTGGAATGTTAAACTTCATTTCCTAGGGGCCGGCGTTGAAATAGAGCATTTTTAAATATGTAATCTGGTAAGTCGCGATCAAAAGAATTTTAAACCAGATCCCACCAAGTAATGAGGAAATCTACATTTGAGTGACAAATACTCAGGATTTGGTAGCAGAGATTAATCAATTAGGTAGCTAGAGATCTTCTCTGCATATACGAAAGAGACAAAGGAACTCTCTTTAACACTAAAATGGAGCAACAACACCTACTTGATGCTCTTAAGTATAAAACCCGTAAAGAATATGGATGAAATTGATCAAGGATGTGAGTTCATTCAAAATGTAACGACTAAAACCGTTAAGATTGTACTAGAACCCGTTTGGATTTCCATCCAAAGTGACATTCGAGAAAGTAAATATCTCATTTTAGCAATCTTGAAACTAACTGAAACCATGATTTGGAAATAGATTTCGACCTTTATGGTCACACACGTCTCTCTGAAGTCGAAAGTTGATGTTACTACAAGAATAACAATACTAGAATGAATATTCCATTGGATTTGGAAAACGACATATTCGTGAGAAAAATAACAAATTCTAAGTATCTAACTCGGTTATTTGAACATAAAGAGCACATAGTATGTGGTACACTACCACAATTGCAACGACACATTAATTACTGAAGTAAATATAATGAATTTTCTTGTTATCCTTCTAGAAAGTGCCAAAATTGCAAGACTACTAGCTTAGCAAACCTTGAGGGGTTAGGTCACTAGCAACAAGACTTGAGCCTTATGGGCTCCTCCTCAAAGGTCACTCGTTTGAGTCCGTTAACGCCACTTGGGATTTTTCTGGCTGTTCTCCATGGGATTAGTCTAGGTACGCACAAGCAAGACGGTCCGAGCTCCCAGAGTTGACAAAAAAATGCAAAGATATGTGCATTGCTTAAAGTTTCTAGCCTAATAAATGTCAAATTTGAAACACCAAGATTGACCTACTGAATCCACAATCCCACATACCTACTCATCTTATGCATACCCAATTCATATTCATTAGAGCAAGAGGTATCCCTAAATTATAGAACATGGTAGTAGATTTATCAGAACTGAATGCATAAGAAATTTCTCAAATAGAAATCAATCAACTCAAACTCAAACTCAAACCAAAACTGCTAAAGAACATTCCCAACAACTCTCTTATGTTTTTGCATCTTTAATCTCTTACACTGAGAATTTACTTTGGGATTCATGTAATAATCGATTCACTAAAAACCCCAAATAACTGATTACTATAAGAACAGTCGCTACTGAAGGTAAGTATGTGGATTCAAACCTTCATTTGAATCATCAAAATCCTAAAACAGAAGCAACAAAAAAGTACCAAAATCTGGAAACCAGGAAAGAAATTGATAGAAACCCATGAAAATTCATCCGTAACTAATCATCAGAAAATTATACAAGAAACGATAACATCAAAACCAACTCCAGATTAAGTTACTACGATTGGAGAAGGAGAGGGATCGGATACCTTTGGTATAGGATGCCGTAAGAGTTGCAGTGGTTCAGTGGTGCCTTCCTTAAGTGATGATTCTACTCGAAAATGAATTTGGATTCGAAACTGATTGTGGGTAGTTTTAGTTTTTGCCAAAATGGGGGAGAAGATGAAAAGCAGCAGATTATAAAATTGAGAATATAAGGGATAAGATCATACTGGTAAGAGAGAGAGAGAGAGAGAGAGAGAGAGAGAGAGAGAAGGGTGGGTCGTCAGCAGTCATCAACTCCCTAACTGCACATTCTTGTTTGTTTTCAAACGAATGAGTAAAAACAAACGTCCAAATGATTCATGTTTTTTCTTGTTTTCCATTATTTAAAGAACGTACCTTTTTTTGTTATGAAATGTTCTTGATTTTAAATAATGACACAAACCCAAAACTCATTAAAGAAAGAATCTTTTTTTATGAGATCGATTCTTGAACGTAGATGTTAATGACCATGAAACCACTTTCAATATTGACTTGTCAACTGTTTAAACATCACGTTGTTCAGGTAGCACCATGTGACGGACGTTCATAGACGTGTATGACTCGGAAAACCCATTTGTCCTCTACGTGTTTCAAACCAACGTATGTCCACCCAAGAGTTGTCTTTCGTGGTTGCTTAATCAGTCGTTTTTTGTTAACTGTGAATATTCGGATCAACGTGCACGTACTTTGACTGATCCCATATAACCCTAAAGGTTAATAGTCATGTGTTGCCAACACCTAGGACTTTGATACCTTAATCTTTGCAACATCTCATTCCTTTTTTGTTAGAGCTAAACGCTCTTTTGTTAAGAAAATTTAAACAATGTTAAAAAAATATAACAATATGACTCAACTGATCAAAAATCATAAACCTACGCCCAAAATATCATGTTTATAGCTTTATCAAGCAGATATCATCAATTAATGTTTACCACTTAAAAAATAAAATGCATGGTTATAAATAAGACCTATAAAAATTGATAAAACCCCCTTTTTTTTCATTAACTTGGATATCCAACCTGCTGTGTGAGCCGACTAATCTCAGGACGACCACTTACTTTGCAGATAAACCGGAGTCACCACATTTAAACCTCTGTGGCCATAAAGAGATTTTTATTCCTCCTTAGATTTGATAAAATATGCTTTAAATTATTTTTATCAAAATAATGTTATGGTATAATATTATTTAATTGTTTTTGGTATTAAATATAAAATAATATATAATTTTATTTTTGTATTAGAAATGGATGGAAAATGATACCATTTGTATGTAGAAAACGAGGTTAATGATTAGAGATGGTACGGCAGGGCAGCCCAATGAACTGCAACCACCCAACTTTGATTCCACATTTTCCCACTTGTCACGTAAATAAAGAGACAGGGTCTGGGCCTGGGCCTGGGCCACAACCCACTTAGTACATGTGGAGACCCACACCAAATTTTCACTTCCCTCCCTTCAACAACTTCATTATTACTACTCAGTCCCTGTTGTTGGGAAAACTATGGACCCAAAAGAGGCCGAAACGGTATATATTATTAGTTTAGCTCTTTTGAAAATTATGGAGTTATATTTATATGTAAAATAAAAATAAAACAGACAAATCTGATAAATTTCATTCAAAAATAAGATCTGAAAAGATAATATATATAAGTTTTATCTGAAACAGAAACATTGTGAATGTTATATTTGAATATAGAAAATGTGTCCCATAAGTAACATAATTACATGTTTGTTTTGTTAGATAGGACATAATGGACCCATCAGTCTCTTATTTTGGGTAATGGAGACATGTTGATACATGTGGAAATTTCGTATCAGCTTTTTGAAAAAGTATTCAAGTCAATTATAATTGTATCAATATAAATAAATAAAAAAGGTGTGTGTCTGTAAGCATAAAAAACGATATTTTTGCAAATTAAGATAGACACGTGGAGTAAATGTTTTGTGAAGCCCATAAGAGGAGACGTTCCGGAGAAAGATAGCGGGTTGATTTACGGAAATCTAATTAGCAGTCCATTGTATCTCGCTCCTCTACATCAGGGACGGACCCAGAAAATTTTCCATACGGTGGCACCATATAATTAATATAATATAATATACATCTAAAAATAATTACAAAAAATATGGTTTTTATGGTACCGATAAACAACTCCTAAACTTGTACCCGATGCGTTTTCATCTTTTGAAAACGGTCAATATATACCCAAAAATAATTACAAAAAGTATGTTGAGAAACAACTCCTAAATTTGTCATCGGCGTGTCTTCATCTTTTGGAAACGATCGATGACATCTTCGGTTTTAACATTACTAAAGGCTTCATTTTCTATGGCGCAAATGAGGACATAATTCAAAAAATCATCACCAATTCAATTACGTAAATCTGTCTTAAGCTTCATCGCCGAAAAACATCTTTCAACCGTAGCAGTTGCAACAGGCAAACCAGTGTCAGTTTCAATAACCGGTAGACTAAAGGATGAGAAAGATGCTTTCTTGTTGCCACCATTAATCTGGTGAGGTCGGCAATACCGTTTAAGTTGACAAATCTGACATCATTATAAACAGAATGATAGTAGATATCAAGTTCATGCTCAAGAATTATCCTTTCCTTGTCTTCAAAATCTCGGGAATACATATGACTCAACTTCAATAGGCTTGATTTGATTCGTCTACATAAGTAAAATACAAGGTCATGGCTTCGATGACTTGTGGAGGCTCATATTTTAAAAAGTAATGACTAATTTTGCCATTAATTTTGCGGCCCTACTCAACTATTTTGTGACGAAAAATCAACTTTACGATTTGCATCCATTTTTTTTTTCATTGATAAATCAACTTTACAATTTGCATCGAATCCTTTTTTTCATTGAACGAAAGAAGCATATTCAAATTGATTTACATTTCGTAGCTTAAACCTTTCTATTCGAGGCCGGTTTGGACTTGAAGAGTTGTTCACCAAGTTGTCACATTTTTCTCTATGTCGAAGATGGTCTTGCAAAATAATTACTCTATGTGAGGTCATATTAAATTACTAAGGATAGAACGGTAAAATCACTTGTTTATAACTGATCCTCAAATTAGTTAGCAGGGCCGGCCATGGGCATGGGCGACATGGGCCTTCGCCCAGGGCTTCATCAACCCAAGGGGCATCATCCTAGCCCAAGCCCGCTATAGTATAGTCCTTGTCCAAATCCAGTCTCCAGACTCTCCAGTCCATCCTCGTCTTCCTCTTCCCTAATCGACTAATCTCCAGTCCGTTCTCATCTTCCTCTTCCCTCCCGGCTCCCGCTCCGATGCTCCGTCTTCCTCTTCCTTAATCGGCGCTCCCTCTCAGATACTTCAAAACTTCGCTTGGGCCTTGGAACTTTAAAATATTTATGGTTGTCTTTTGCCAAGGAATAGACTAATAGCATAAACCCCATTACACTGTTGTTGAAGAACATGATTTTAGAGAATAGAGAATTTGGAGAAAAAAAATGAATCGAGATATTAGATATGTGAAAGCATCTTAAAGATTTCTAGGTTTATAAAAAAAATTAAGCTTGTAATGTCTTGACAGATTTAAACCACAAAGGCTTAAATATTGGGAAATATTTGTCTTGATTTGGTCTTTTTTGTCTATTTTCTTGTATGTGTCTTCTTTTTCCGTTTCTTGTGTTGTAAAATTATACTATATACTACTAGGGATAAAAGGGTAAAATCACCCTGCTTGTTTGTAACTAATTCCCAGATATGTTATATTTTGTTAGTTAGTTCCAGAAGCTGTTAAATGTCAGTTAGCTTTAGTTGTTAGTTATCTTTAATTGTAAAGGATAAAGATATGATCATAGTTCTACTCCATGACGGATAATTTTCTCCAATCAATAATAGCGGAACAAGAATTAAACCATCATCGGAGTGATGGAAAAAAAATATGGATGTAGACAATTATCTGTTTCTGAAGCCGAATGAGACTTTGAAACGATCCTCAAGAAAAAAGTGAAAGTAGTATAAATAGTAAAAAGAAGAAACATGATCAAACCATCTAGGTCATGCATGTAGCCAAATCGTGCGCACCCACTCCTGGTTTGACTATGTTTCTTGATAACAATGTGATTTGATTGGAGAATCACCTCTAATATGTATGTGTTTCTTGTGTTTTATTATTTTCATTTGAACTCAACCCTTGATTATAAACAAGTGATTTTAATCATTCTATCCTCTCTTTTTAATTAAGCTGGATATCCAACCCGCTATGCGAGCCGACTAATTCCAGGGCGGCCACCTGTTTTGTAGATAGCCCGGAGCCATCGCGTTTAAACCTCCGTGGCCACAAGGGGATTTTTATTTCTCTTTGGCTTTGAACCTAAAACCTCCTGGTACTTTTGACCTTTGAAGTCAAACTCAAACCAATCAGATACCATCTTTGTGGTTTTCATTCTATCCTTGGTGTAGTAAAAATAGGAATCATATGAGATTTTAAGGATTGTTTAGTAAATTGGAATTGAAGAATTAAAATCAAAGGAGTGACAATAGAGATACTCATAATTTCATTTATTGTTGTCAGTTAGCACTAGAACAACATGTTATTTATTTATATATATATAGGGTTGGGTTCACATGAGACCAAGGGTTTTTCGTGAGACCTGTAAAACCAATTTATATTCATTGATCAACTTTATAAGCTAATGGTCTAAAATTGTACGGTGACAATTTTGTAATTATTGAGAAGTGTCGTGGCAATTTTGTGATTATGAATGTTGAAATTGTAGATCTAATCCAAGGGTTGAGAATTGGTCTTACGGGTCTCACGAAAAAGCTTTTGTCTCATATGATCCCAAATCTATATATATAAAAGGTGTCTTCATTAACATGTACACTTCTAATCAAGGGACTATTAGGAAGTCGAAAGATCGTATGAGAATAAAAGTTATGGTGAGAAACGTGAAAAAAGATCTGAACCCTTGATTACTTTTAATCTCATGTCACCAATGAATTGCACTTTAGAAGAAAATTGATCAGAAGCACTTCATTAATGTTGACATTCATTCAAGATTGATCCAAATGTAAATATCTATTTCTTATATTTTTCATAATAACTTCTCTTCTCTCCGAAACCCAACCCGAAACTCATCAAGATATCAAATATGCACTTATTTATAATCTTTTTGAGATTTTGAGTTGTGATTTTTTATTTTTGAATTTTTTATAAATTGCTGTAAGACAATTGAAATTATATGGGATCTGAATTGAATCAGCTCGCTAGCTGGGATACCTTGTCAAAAGAGTAGCATCTAAACAAGGAGAGTCTTTCCAGACATTTGAGTGTCTTTTAAGGATTTCTCTGGCTTTGTCCCTTGGATATGAATGCCTACCATTTACTTGAAGAACCATCATTAGTTTCTCAATCGTTCCAACCCTCACCATCTCGTTAAGAACCCCATCAGTTGCAGAGAATTTGGATATCAATGAAATAATCATCAAGGCTCTTTCATCAACCTTGGGAGAAACCTTCCCAATCCTCTTTGTGATCATGGCTATTCCAGCTGCATGACCAAGAAGCTGAGCCCTCCCATCGGCTGAACAGCACAAGTGAAACAACACTGCCATAATCAACTCGGTGGTGGGCTTGTCGAGTGAGCCAAGTTCCAGCTCCACAAGCTCAAAAACAGCTCCGGCTTCAATCATCATCGAGCAGTTTCTTGGCCATGTACAAGTGCTAAGCATCACATGCAAACCCTCTTTGGTTCCTTGTTCGAGTTTCTTGTATTCTTGTTGTCGAAGAAGTAGAACGATCGTTTTGAAGAAATCCCGCTTCAGTCTCTCAAGAACATGCGACTTTGCGTTGTGTATGATGTTTTTTAGAGAAACTATCGCATGAAATTTCATTGTTGTGTCATCACAAGCACTGAAATCCAACACCCATGTTAAAGAATCTATGATTAGGTCATGTTCTTCATCAAGAATCGAACTAGTTTCATCTTGTGTAAATCCAACAAGATAAAGAACGTTGAGGGCTTCTTTTAGACCAACGATTGTGCCATTCTGATAACACGAAACTACAATACTCACCATGGCTTGAACAACAGCAACTTCTTTCAAGAAAACCCTATAATTTTGGTTCTCAGACGCAAGATTTTCTAACCTTTTTAGTGATTCTAATTGCATCTCCGGTAGCTTAAGATTCTTGATGAGGTTCATGGCAAATTCCTTGTGGAAAGACGGTTGGTTGGGTGGTGGAAGTTGATCTGAGACTGAGACACACCAAGCTTGGATGAGGCGGCGGAGGTTGTGATTGGGAGTGAAGTCGGAGCCGATGGGAAGCGGTTGATTGGTGACTGGACAAGTGTTGTTTTGGCCGTGGAACTGCCACCGTTGGATGCTATCTCTGTCGTAGGTGATGCCGGTGGCGACAGTCACCGGATCTTTCATGATTTGGAGAGAAATGGCACAGATGAAGTAGTGTGGGACTTCACGATCATCCATTTTTACAAGACAAGAAGTTAATTAAATCAAGAGAGACTGGTTGTTGGATGGTTATATATATATATATATATATATATATATATATATATATAGGAACCAAATGCTTTTCGTTCGTGAGACCTGTGAGACCAATTTTCAATTCTTAGATTAGATCTATAATCTGAACATTCATAATCACAAAATTGTTACGAGACTTCTCAATAATCACAAAATTGTCATCGTACAACTTTAAACCATTGGATCATTAGCTTATTAATTTAATCAATAAACATAAATTAGTCTTACGGATTTTACGAAAAACTCTTGGCCTCACATAAACCCAACCCTATATATATTATATACACGTAAATATATGTATGGAAGGATATTTGATGGTAAGAGATTGCGGCTGATTTGTGCGTGTAGGTCTCTACTTGTGTTGTCATTGGGTTCATAGACTTTGATCCAGAGGACCAGGTGCAATCGTCTGGATTACTCACTCAAAAATTGAATGAGGAAATCACAATTTTGGTCCCTCTGTTTTAGATTTTTTTCTCATTTTGGTTCCTAAAATTTATTAATTACACTAAAGGTTCTTACTTCGTATTTCACATATCAAAATGACCTTCAATTTAACACCGTTAATGAAGTGTCTATTAAGCTAGTTATGTGCCCTTACGCTAAGGAGCAATTTGGTATTTTTAATTCCATGTTTGTTTTCTTTTAAATAAATTAATATTATTTTGTGGCCAAAATATAAAACGGTTTATCTAAAAGTGTTGTAAAGACTGTTAATACACCAAAAAACGTCCTACAAACTTATTTCAACACCTTCAGATAGGATACTTTTATTTTCTTGGTTCTAAAAGTTAAGTTCTATAAAACAGTCTATTAAGACGCTTAAAAATTGGTGGCGTCCTATAAACCCGATTTTATTGTTTCACCAGATAAAAGGCAAGGGAAGGGGTAGGTTCACCTTTCACGAGAGAAAGGGGAAGGGAGTCGTTGGAGCCAATGGAGGTTCACCTTGTTGAAGACGGAGAAATTGATAGATGCTCTTTTTCCAATTAAATGATTATATATCGTTTCATAAAAGTGTTTTTTACCTTTTTAAAAAGAGATAAAGAGGTAAAAGAACGAATTTACACACGTGTCAGGGGTACGTGATCGACTAAACTGACACTTGGTTAACGGTACCAGTTGGATGGACGATTTATTATATGAAACATGAAATGAGGACCATTAATTTACATATTAAATTTTATGTACCAAAATTTAACAACAGTCAAAGCATAAGGACCAAGAATGTAATTTACTCAATTAAAATAAACAAATAAAAACAATTTTTTTATGTTATGTTTCTTACTCATATTTATTTCAAAATTGCAACTTTTGACCCTCAACCAAAATATTTGCATATTAAATTTTCATAAGAAACATATAATGAATCTATCAACATCTAATATACTTTTGCTAAGAAATGTCTACTTTTTCAACCATGCAAAATAAAAAATAAAAAGGCTGTAATTTTAAAGCTATGAAAGATAACGTTTAAAATTTAGATTCAGAAAAAGAGTATAATATTTTAAAAAAATCGTAATTATTTAAAAAAAATTGTTTATAAATACCTATTTGTGCATTATATTTATTTAAAAACATTATATATTTAATAGACAAGCAAAAAAATTATTACAATATGTATTAATAAAAAAAATCTAATATTAATTAGAATATATAGTTATTATATTATTTTAGTTAACTAAATGGTTTTTTCTACTGTTACACCATGTTCTAGAATTTGAAGGAAAGCAAATAAAATAAATAGAAGAAAAAGATATATAGGAAATAAAAATAATTTTTTTTATTTGTGTTATTAAAATAAAGGGTAATCGGAAAGAAAAATCCGTGTTTTTGAGTGGGATATAAAGAAAATGAAAAATGTTATTTTTTTTACAAATATACCCTTTATTTGGAAATGATTTTTTTAATTGTCGTAAGAAAAATTCTTTTTTTTACCTGGATCAAGGTGGAACAAATCTATACGTTTACTGATATATTTTCAAAATTAAATTTAATTCTCTTTTAAAACATTAAATATGTATCTCTTTTTTACATTTTATCGTTTTTAATTAATTAAATAAATAAATAAATAAAAATGAAGAAAATATGTTGTAAACAACTCATAAGAGGTGAACTGGTCACTAGCTATGTCTTACCAAATGTTGAACAACTGCTGTCTTGTCTTGTTTTATCATATCCTTTTCGGATACCTATCGTCCACAAGATTTATTTTCTTTCCATTTACTTTCATTCTTTTTTTTCTTTTCTTTTTTTTATTTCATTCGTAAAAGAACTCGAGAACACAGTCTTAATAATAAAAGGAGTAATAAAAAATTTAGCTTAATTATTATTTTTGAAGTATTTTTTTATTTAAACAAAAATGAGTCAATCAATTTGTAATAGCGTAAAAAAATAGGAATTAATGATGTAAGTGGAAGAGTATGATTTGTGTTGGCGGTCAAAGGAGAGTTGGATGGTCAAAGATGTTGAAAATTAGAGTTAATTGGGACGGAGACTTGGAAAATGGTTTTTCCACCTCCACCTCCACCCCCACAATTTTATTGTTTAAAATATTTATTTTATACAAAACGCGAAAATCAAATAATTTATAGTTTAATGATACATTTATTCAACATATCTCATTTATATATTTGATTCTTTATATTATATTATTAAATTTTATATTTTTATCGTTTAAAACATTTAGTTAATTTCTAGTCAACTTCTAGAATTCGACCATAGATTTAACATGTAGAATGGTCATCTTTATCTCTTGGAAAATGAATATGCATAAAAATAAACAATATATATATATATACATATATATATATATATATGGGGTTGGGTTCACGTAATACCAATTTATGTTTATTGATCAACTTTATAAGCTAATGATTTAATGGTCTAAGGTTGTACGGTGACAATTTTGTGATTATTGAAAAGTCTCGTGACAATTTTGTGATTATAAATGTTGAGATTGTAGATCTAATCCAAGGGTTGGAAATTGGTCTTACGGGTCTCACGAAAAACCATTGGTCTCACATGATCCTAAGTCTATATGTGTGTGTGTAAATTTAATCATCTGAGAATCCAATATATTGTGATAATTGTGATACTTTTTATTTTAAGGTATTGTTTTACATGATTTTTTTTTCATTTAAGGTTAACATTTTATGTATTGATGAATGTATATTTTTTTCATAATGTTTTTTGTTTCATGTGTATTTGGTTTACAATATGAAATTTTTCTACGTGTAACTTTTGTTTCACTAATAGACATATAAAGTTCATATTGTGAAACAAATATATGTTAATCGATATTTTAATCTTTCTCTTAGATGAAAGTCATATGAAATAGACAAAACCAGACCTAGAAATTTTTTTAAATAGTAGCACAATTTGACTATAAGGAACAAATATATAAATATTTTTCATAATCGTAGCCTCTTTTTTCTTTTTTTGATAGATTTGTGACCCAACTTTAATCTCCCTATCCCCTCAATCCCCTATGAAAGAACTCCATCAGCAAAACGCGCAACACACCATAGAGGCAGAAGCAACAATAACAACAACAATAAACACGGGCCTTCCTTCTCCGTTTTCCAAAGAACACCAACCGCCTTTCTCTGCCAAACTCTGCAACCCACAATCGGTTCCGGTTTTTGGCATGACCACTCACCTCTCGTCCATTTTTCCGGCATGGCCACTCAGAAACCTACTCGATATATTGACAATGTTTTGTTTGTATAGCTCGAGCCTAGGGTTTTATTTTCCGTCGGGAAATAAAGTTTTTAAACTTGGATACAAAAGATTGGAACCAAAGCATGCAGGAAACAAACAATGGAGTTTTCTTCTAGTTTTCTCTCTCATTTTATTTATTTGCTACAATCTTTCGGCAACCATTATCCAGTGACGAAGAAGAGGAGGGAGAGAGAGAGAGAGGATTTACAAATATCCATAATGCTCTTTATTTAATTTTTCGTTCAGAATTAACAACTTGTTGATTAATAATTATTATGATTTTATTATTTATATTGGATCTCACAAATTGTAAGGATCTTAAAAGAATACATATATGTATGTATGTGTGGGTTAATGAAAGAAAACCGTATAAGTTACAAAATAAAAATAAAAAGATTTTTATCAAAACCAATTAACATGAATATCTATACTATTTTATAAAGCATTTGGCTAAAACTCTTAAAAACTCTTAAACTCGTTCATCCCTATCCGATTTCATCTCATATCTGAATTCGTGTAACTAACTGCAGATAAACACAATCTAATACAGGATAAACATCTCATTTTAAATACAAAAAATCTAAAATATAATTAGGATAATCATTGAGTTCTATCAGAATACTTAATTATTATCTTTATAAAATGTTATATTATTAAACCAAAAATAAATTATTTCATTATTTATAGTATAAAGCATTTGACAAAAACTCTTAAAAACTACTTTTTATGCATAAAGTACTGTTTATTAATGCATATTACTTAAAACTCAAGATTACAAGTAATTATGCAAAAGTACAACTTATCAAAGCTCGATTTTTGAATTCGTATAACTAATTGCGGATAAATATAATCAAATAGAGGATGCGCATCTCATTTTAAGATATAAAAAATCTAAAATATAATTAGAATAATTATCGA